TGTTAATTTAACTAAAACACACACATTTGGAAAAACTGACTCAAATAATGGTATTAATATAATATAAAACCACTCAAATGAGCAGTGTAAATGCAAAAACCTTATACTGCATTATTTATATTTGTAATCCAAATCACTGTTTATTAAGGGAGTTAAGGCAAAATTGTTGCTATTTGCATGCTATAATCATTTAGTTCTGTCTTAAAGACTTGGCATTAATTAGGCAACATACCATTCTTTGTGAGTTTTAAATTGAAGTGGTCTGTGCATCAGTGATTTTTGCTCCACTGTTTTTACAGCTGAAAATCTTCAATAGTTTTTAATGGCACTTTCAAACAAAGTCACACACAATGAACTTCTGAATCGGGATATTGCAGGCACAGCACAATTTAGGCTTGGATGTTTTATGCTGTAGGCCTACTCTTCGCCTAAATGAACAGAAACATTCAGTGTAACGACCAAATCAAAGTTCAGTACTCCTACTGTTATGCTTGCTCTGTCATACTGATGATCATGACCGAAGCCCATGTGAGTCTCTGTCCATTGCTGCACTCTAGGGTCAAAGTCCTACAAACACCTGATACAAGGCTTATCCTCCTGAAAACCAGAAAAAAAGATTTTGTGAATTTAGTCTTTTTTCATGTCATTACATTGTTTAGACTTTAGTTTAGAGCATAAGAAAAAAAAAAGTTTTTTTGAAAAATGATATTTTATTCATGTTATGCTATGTCTTCTGTAGAGGACACCAGGACTCAATATTTAAAAAAAATAAATAAAAAGACATGAATGACCATGAATAGGCAAAAACAATAAATCATCAATACATTTTTAGGTTTCATGATTTTTTTTATACCAAACTTTGTATAAAGATGATTCTCAACTATGTTATGAAAGATATAACAGGATGATTTGATATACCATTTTGTTTTATGTGTGTGTAAAATGGCCATAAGAGGGTTTTCCCATTATATACAATGTATCTATATACTGTATCTAATTTGCATATTAATGTGCTCTTGGGGCAACATGTAATGAAAAAAAAGTATAATAATGGGAGTATTAATTGGCAAGATTTTCATAATATCTAATATTTCATAGGAATATTGAAATATAATTTCTTACCCTATTCATTTGTTGTGTCTCCCAAAATGCATAATAAACATGCATTTTGGGACATCCAGACTTATAACTGTGACATGTAAGTTCTCAGAGAAATTCACTAAAATATAATGTCCTCTACTGAGGACAGAAGGTCTCAGGAGAATAAGATATTTTCTGTATAGCAAGTTATATTGAAAAATATATATATTTTTTATTTTACTTTTTATATCAACCTTTAGTGGTTTGTCACTTTAAGAATTCTCGTTTGGCCTTCCCCTAATAGGTCAAGTCTTCCCGTTGTTCCATATGTCCTTCTGTATTCAAGTGAAACAAAACCTTGGAAATGAGTAACATTTGACACAAGAGATCACACTGAAGAAGCCATAAATGTTACATCACAGCTACATCTCATTGAAATACATTGTTGTAACATTGTTCTTTTCTGACAAGTTTCCAAGAAGTGCTTAGACTGCCATTATGACAGAGTTATTCTCAAGGGATAGTTTACTCAAAAACAAAAAATGTGTCATTTATTTAGTCATTAATTACACTTTGTTCCAAACCTGTATGACTCACTTTCTTCTGTGGAACACAATAAAACAAAAAGTCAGTGAGGTCCATGTTGTTTAGGCTTTAGCATTTTTCTAAATATCCTATTTTGTGTTCTGCAGGAAAAAAAAAAAAGGTTAATAAAAAAAAATTAAAATTCTGTCATCAGTTGCACACCCTCAGGTTGTTCTGAACCCAAGACTTTTGCTCATCTTTGAAACACAAGTGAAGATATTTTAATGAAACCTGAGATTTTTGTCCCTTGGTTAAAAGTAAATTCCCCTAAAAGTTGCATGCTTCAAAAAGTTCATAAAACACTGTAAAAGTAATCAATTTAATTAAGGTCTTCTGAAGAGACACCACCACTTTAAATGATGAACAGATTTAATTGTGGTGCTTCAGCAAAGTGAGTTTATAGTTCTTAAATATTAGACAATTTCACCACATGGCATCCATTCTGTAAAATGGTACTTTTATTGTACATTAAAATAAATAAATAAAAGATAGATATATATATAGATAGATAGATAGATAGATAGATAGATAGAAATTAGATCTAATTTATATTTCAGATGAATCAGGAATGTTTGCACTGACAAACTGTATATTAATATTTTGATGCATTTTTATTTTGTGTCATTATTTTAGATGCCCACAAACAGAGTTGCTAGGCACCACCAAAAAGACCCAGTAGCTAGAGCAGCAGGAAACGAGAAAGGATTGCAGTTATTACTGTACTACTGTCACACTGATTGCAGTTACTACTGTTTCTGGACAGAGTGTTTCTCCTCCCTATATCACAAGTTCAAGAGAGGACATTGAGGGGACTCTCCACCCAGAATACCCATCCTGATTAAGTCATTGTTGGCAAACAGAGAGTATTCATAAATATAGCTGCAAGCAGTAATTTTTATTACTATTACTATTAAATAATTACTATTAAAAGTCTTTTAATAGTATTTTAATGTAAGGTTACACTAAATGAAATTTTAGTAGGTGTCTTCTGTAAATCATGCTAAAAAAAAAAAAAATGTACGACAGTCATAATTTTCTCCTTAAAAAATAAAATAAATGAATAAACAAGACACATTCTAATGTATGGACAAAAATGTAAAGCTGTATTACACCCTTTTATTTATTTATTTATTTATTATTATTTCTTTTTTTTTTGGTGTTTGAAAACCCCTTTTCTTCTTTGACCCATAATTGATCAACACACATAAAGAGAGCCTATCAAATATGGTAAAAAGCTCAATCGTTCTTGCTTGATGTGCAAGAAGCAATCCAATGAAGTTCTGTTTGTTTGTTTAACTTAGATTTCTTGCATTTTCTCTTTATGAACATTTAGAAGAGTGAAAGTTTTGGGGAATGGAATTTCAATGGAGAGACAGGATTTTAAAGATGAACAAAAGTCTTAGAAGTTTGGAATGACGTGAAGGAGAGTAATTGATGACAGATTTTTCATTTACCCAAATATCCATTTAAGTGCATTAAGAGTTCCACTAAAATGAAATTCTACATAACGTAATAGTACAGTGACATTGACAGCACAGAATAGAGAATACAGAAATTTTAGAATAGGTATTCAAGTGATCATCTACTTAAAACAGTTAATCATTTTTTAAAAGCTTGTTGTAAGCTAGTACCTGCACAAAAGGTTAACGCTCCCCACTGTGTCTTCTTTCAAAATCTTATCATGAAGAAAGAAAGGAGGGGTTATGAGAATACAGGTCAGTTATACGATACATTAATTTTTCTTAAGAAGCATCATCTAACCTTTTATATTTCTACATTTCATATCCGGAGGACACAGAGAGCAGGTCACAGATGGTGTCAGCGATTTTTGTCTCAGCATGTTGTTCACGTAGATAGGTGTGCATGCCTTTATATAAGTTTAAGACACATTTGTTGAATACATTTCTTCCATTAGCAAAGATTAAACTGTATATAATACGGAATGAAGCATGTCAGAACCAGGGAAAGGAGAACAATATCTCTGAATAGGGTGATAATCTTTCTAAGCCACTACTCCAATTTAACACGAAACATACTCAGCCTTCCATTACAGCATTACATATTGAGGCATCAGAAATGCATTCAATAAAAAATATTTGAAATTGCTAACTCTCAGATATGGAAAAATATAGTCCACTGATAGAATCAGTAGTTAAGTAAAAAAAAATAAATAAAAAAAAAGTGACTAAAGATTGCACATATATGTAGTTGGCCAGCCCACAAGTTACTAATAGCCTTTTGGCTACTCTCTCAATGTTATTATGTATTAAGAGCACAACACTTTTATCATGACACCAGAGTAAGGGGGAAACTATTGCAAAATAGTTCCATTCAGAACAGTTCACAACAGCTTTGATCACTAAAAATAGATGCTTCTATTGTATCAAGAATGAAGAGGGGGTGAAAAAGTTTGTATATGGGAAAAAACCATTCTCCAGACCAAATCATGCATTAAAGCAACAAACACCAACACTAAAACGGAGATCCCATTTTATTTAAAGGCCTCATTTAATTGATAGGTATGAATTCAGTTTACACAAAACCCTTTAAAAAAGTCAACATGCAGTGATCACAAGGATAGAAAGAAGAGCCTATAGATTGAGAACAAAGGATTTGAAAATGGTGTCTAGGCCGTACACTTCAAATATTCACAATGACTCATGTTTCTTTTGTTGTCCATGTATTCATACAGATTTAAACATACAAGAAGGCATTGTTCTGACACAGAACAGTCAAACATCAAAAACTTTAGGAATCTGAAAAAACCCTGTACCAAAGTCCAGACTGACTTGCAGGATCCCAACATGCTGCTTCAGCTTATGGTCAGCTGTAGGGCTCCACCATCTTTAGTCCCAAAAAGAAAAAAGAAAACTGCTGTGTCCAGGATGAGGCGTTTTTTTCTGCAGTGGAGACCTGTTTTCTCACCAAACTGTATTTTTAGATCAAATAAATGCACAACCTAATGCAGTGAGACCTAATGAGATGAAGCTCTTCTCACTGAAGTCTTTGAAAATATATGTACAGATTACTCTGTGCAATATTTAAAATGTCCAAAAGGAAATTTCCTGACTTTTAGGTCAGTTTCTTGTCATTCCTGTTATGAAAAAAAAAAGATTCTTCGTGAAACAAAGAGATCAGCAGCTTCCTGTGGACACTCTAATACCAGCATTCCAAACAAGTGTGGATGATATTCTTGAGAATCAGAAATAGTCCTTGATATTCACGCAGCTGTGATATACAAAAGATCCTGACCTCCAACATCTACATCTTCCAAACAAAGCCACATTTCATATTGCATGAAATAAAAGCACTTTACAAAATGGCTATTTTTTTTAATAAAGTAAGGCACTGCATTAACCTTCACTCTCTGGAATAGTGCTGTTCAACAACTCGGCCGGTTTGAGCGAGTTTAGACGTAGGCCCCTAAAGCTGCGTGGAACTCAGTGAGGCACTGGACGAGCTGTTGGAATTTTGGTCTCTCCTCCGGATCCAAGGCCCAGCAACACGCCATCACTGCAAATCTGAAACAGAGAACATCTTCACATAAACAAAACATCTACTTTTATTAGATCATCAGTGACTGATGAAGCCAAAGGAGATTTATCAAAGCAAAAGCTTGTCTGTCAAGACTTCTTGGTCTTGATTACATTTGTCAGCAGCGTTCGAAAAGGGCTTGAGTGAAAATTGAGATCACCTTATCACTCAGTTTCTATTCAGGCTTTCCAACACACAAGGCAAATCGCAGAACACGTATTCAACACTTATTCTCTGAAGGGAAAAAGTGCTAAGTTATGATCCAATGCTGATTAGCTCTTCCTGCATTCTCTAAACTGTGTTCTGGCGAGTGCATGTAAGAATATAAAAATTGCTGTGTTTGGGTCACTGACATGATCAACATCCCTCGTTGCTTTGTAAATCCTGGCTGGACTGGTCACCACGGCTCCTGTTCCCTAGCTATTGCAGGATGCCGATAAGGTTCAGACTGTGCAGACAGCCAGCATCTGTAACTTGTATTCGGATCAAACTGTCCCATTTCATTTTCTAAAGGTTCAGTTGGTTCCCTCACAAGATAATCAAGATTTAAGAAAGCCGTTGTTACTGATACTTCGGGAGCTTTGCCAGTCACTCAGTAACACAAGTTCACTAGAGTTGATTTATTTTGCAATATTAACTCTGTACATGAAATGGAAGTTATTTTGAATAAAGAATTATTTGAACATGATTAAAATACAGAAGTTAAAGGTTTGAACCAAACTCACAGTTCATCGGGGCAGTTGATGGGTTGTGCTATTCTGTAGCCGTCTTTCAGATAGGCAGCCATCTCGAAGGGGTCAATGTCAACATAAGGAGTCTGTCCCAAGGTCATCAGCTCCCACAGAGAAACCCCAAAAGCCCACTGTAGGGAAACAACACACAAGAGCTCAGACCAGGCTGAGTGATGCACAACGACTGAAAAAAGTCGAAAGATGATTCCTCCCTTCAACAAGTGACGAGATCATTTGAGCCAGACAGTATTTAGTAAACAAAATAGATAGTGTTTACCAGAGGTGTAAAGTATCAATGCAGAAAGATATTCCTATAAGAATCTTCATATAGGACATTTGTGAAATTTTTTGGACACTTTCACAGATGATGGGAGAAGGGGGGGAAAAAAAAGTCAAAATCCAGGTATGCATGACCAAATAAGAATAAATATAATATGCATAAATTAAAGTGATTGATTTTAAGTTGTTTTATTGTTATTCATTTATACAAGTATTTTAATATAAAATGATATTTATGATTATAAAACCCTTTGAGGTCCCCTTTAAGCCATTTTAGAGCCATTGGAAGCATTCTGAAAACAAAGCATTCCCGTAACACAAAAGAAGGAAATGTGGATTCATTCCATTGATTTTGGACACAATCACGGCTTGTTCACAGAGACATTTAAGATGCTTCAAACCTAAAAAAAAATAAGCAGCCATGCCCATTTAACATGCATAAAGATGTTTGTTCTACATCACAAGCTATGAAACAAACTGAAGTGCAAATTAATGCAATTACAACTCTTGTTAGAAATAAAGTTCAAGTCAATCAAGTTGATTAGATGTCAGTCAATAATCTTGGATATATAAAGCAACAGGACTATAAAAAGCTGCATTACTTTCAGTGCAATAGGGTGACTTTATAAACAGTTCTGTATGTGTCTGCCCTCCAGCGAGATGTGCTAGAAAAGTTTATCATTTGCACACGTTTTGTCTTGCCAGTTTACACATTCAAGCAGTTTTAACTCGCATGCTTTTTTCTGTGCGATCAGCCGCTGCCGCGTGCAACTGAAGCGCGCACAAGCAGAGAGAGAGAGAGAGAGACACAGTGTGTGTGTGTGTGTGTGTGTGTGTGTGTGTGAGAGAGAGAGAGAGAGAGAGAGAGAGACACAGCGTGATTCCTTTTTTTACATACACACAAAGTTATGTTAAAATACCCGCTTTGGCAAGTATTCTAGTAAACGCAGCTGGTTATTTCTTAAGTGAACATAAACAGGTGAGAAAGAAACCGGATGTGTGTCAGTGTATTTGGCGGGCCGTGCATTTGGTCTTAAAGCGACAGAAGCCAATAAATACCTGTTTCTGTCTGCTAATCAAATAACACCACAGCTCTAACAAAGATTAATCTGTATTTAACTTGTGCAGTGAGCACTATTGTGTTAAACTTAATTATTATTATTTCTGCACCTAAATTCTGATATTTGTAACTGTGATTTGTTGTTTTCATCTATGCTTGTAATTTGTGCAATTGTTCTTGTTTTATTGCTAACTTTATTAGTTAAGCTAGTAGTTTTTTCTATGGTATAGAAGTACTTAAAGTAAGGTTTTTTTTTTTTTTTTTTGCTGATCCATATATGTAAATCCGTATATGATTCGAACCGTGAATTTTGTGATCCGTTGCACCACTACTAAACAGTAAAAGAACTATAAAAATTATGTTTGCGCTTGAGGGCGACACACACTTGACTGCAGAACACACTTTAAATGAATCCTCCCTATTCACTAAAAGACAATTATGCCCATCTTTTCTTTCTAGACATTTAAAAACAGAAAGGCTTCTTTACATATAAAAAGATGTTGTTGTCCGCATTTAATGTGTTTTTTGTTTGTTGGACGTTGAGAGGCTATGAGAGGGAAATTGGGCACAGATCAAGGTGGACATCCACTGGTGATCTGGCTTTCTGTCTTATGTCTCACTGGGTGGGTGATATCCTGCACTACCGGTCCTTACGGTAAAAACGATTCTCCAGTGTATCCCAGTAAACAAGAGTAAATTTCCATACCAGGCCACTGCTCATCACCAGCTCCAATTGTCCAATAAACAGAAACTTAATAATTGTTCCTGGCAGGGGGGCAGCACCAGCCACTATTGTTCTGTTAGTCTGAAGGTATGCAGAGGTCAGATCGCTGACAGGTTTTGGCCCGGTGTGTCATTTATGAGGCGGCCAGGTGGCGTTCAGTACTTCCTGACTGTCTAGGGTGGGTTGTTTCCTTGGCACTTTGAGTGAGACAGATGGGAACATACAGTGTGTTGCCAGACAAATACAATTTTCTCCCCCATTCACTTCTCTCATAAATACAAAAATGAGCCAGGGGTTTGCTTTGCCATTTCCTATGCTTGAGTTTGCTTAAAAGGATAGGTCACCCAAAAATGCAAATTCTATCATCATTTACTCACTTTCATGTTGTTTTGACCGAATACATTTTTTTTTCCAAGGCAGAAATTAAGATATTGTTCATGAAATCTCAGACATTAGTGTCCCTCCACTGAAAGTCCATTACACCAAAACTTGACATTATAAAAGTAATCAATATAAATGGAATAGTAACCCGTATTTGCTTTATGCACAAGAATAAAGCTTATTGGTTCTTGCATGATACACAAGAACAAACCTCATTGGTTCTTGTGCATCAAGCAAGCATGTTTGAGCTTCATTTACCATATTTGATGTGCTCCATGTATGTGTGTTGATCCTATTTATATGTGAATAAAAGTATAAATTAAATCTGTTCTTCATATAAAGCGATCATCTCTCTTCAGAAGACTTGTTTTTTTTTTTACAATATCTTTATGAACTGTGAAGCACTGAAGATCTGGTGTAATGGTCTTTCAATGAAGAAACAGAAAACTGTCACATTTCAGTAAAAACATTAATTTGTTTCATTGCTAAATTAAAGTCTTTAGAGTTTGGAATGATGTGAGAGTAAGTAAATGGTGACAAATTTCAGTTTTGAGTGAACTATCCCTTTACTTTGTACTACACGCATTTGCAGACTTGCGAAATTCTCTGAAACTTGATTGTACACCTATTACAGGACTATTATTCTGAAAATAAACATATTAGGGAAACTCAAATGTGTGTTAACTGCGTTATTGCTGCATGCAGCTGACAACACAGGCCTCAACAAGTTCATGGGCACCTGAAGCATGATGGAGCAGACAGTATGACGTCAAAGAAGTTACACAATTTTAAACCTGTTACCAGGATTTGGGACACAATCTGAGAGACCATGAATGAGTGTGCAGGACCTTAGTTAAAAATTATAGCGATTTTACCAGTGCCATAAAAAAATACTAAAAGGGTATCCACAGGAAGAGAACAACAATAACTTAGAGAACACCTGCTGCTGATATGAAACAAAATATTATGTGAGTGCATTTTAAAGTCTGTTGCAAAAAAGGCAAAAAGGAGCAGCAACTCTTACCACATCACTGGCACTAGAGAAGTCATTGTTAAGCAAACTCTCCAAAGCCATCCAGCGAACGGGTCGGTTCTCATTGTCTCCGAGGCAGTGGTAGTCCATGGGGAAGAGATCACGGGCCAGCGCATTGTCTGTGATCTTCACTTGCATACTGTTATCAATTCTACAAAAATAAATAAATTAATAAAAATCTTGAGATATAAGACGTCTAAACAAAATATACATGCTAATCCGTTTACATGTTAATGCAAACGGACGGTAAAGAATACATAGAGAGAGAATAAATAAATAAATACAAATTAAATGCTTTACGATCAAATCAGTATTTCATTTCTTTATTTATTTGGCAATGACCAATGACATAAATGGGATAACGCACATCTGAATAGTCATTATCATAATAATTGCAATAATGACTATTAGACTGTACGTTATTTTTTTTTAATAGCCAATGCCAATATGTAACACTTGGTGCAGCTGTATACTCCTGTGTGAAGGACAGCTGATGTAAAATGGTAAATAGTGGGAGAACTTGAGGTCAAATGGCACTTACACACAGTTTCTGGCAGCCAGGTCTTTGTGAATAACCTCTCTCCGTGCCAGATAGCTCATCCCACATGAAATCTGTATTGCCATGTGGACCAGGTCTTGTTGAGAGATGGCCTTTGTGGGTAAAACAAGAGAGAGTGGACAAAATGATTATGTGACCAAGAAGACATTGTAAGGGTCACTGGGAGTCTAAGAAATTTAGTACATTTTAATAAGAGAGGTCCAGCAAGAGAAACCAAAAGCGGGACACATGACGAGTGGGTACACAGATGCTCGTGGTTACGGTTAACCTCTTAGGAAACCAGACTTGATGGAGCAACAAGTTCCTCTGTTGAATCTCATCTGGTATGAAGAGTTTGACGTCTGATGTAATGACAGTTACCTCACTAAACATAAACATCCTCTGCACCTAGATGCAAAGCCAAACACTAACGCTTTAACTTTTTAGAGGGAGTGGCTCAACTTCAGGCATCCTTGTATAATCTATCTCGAGTCAGATACAACAAGAAACCCTGGGTGCTAACTGACAAGGTCATAATCTTCTCTAAATGAAAGGCTTTTCAGATGAACTATACACAAGGCTTTAGAACAAAATAATTGCAGTGTATGACAAACTCAGGTGTCACATGAGTTTGATGGTGCATGCTCATTCCTGTTTGTTCAGTGTGAATTTGGTTAGAGTGATTTAGACTGAAAGAGAGAATGTAGTACATGTAGAATCTCAACCTTTTCTTTTTAGCTGTCATGCCTTAAGGGGGATCAATTTAGACACGTAACTTCTCTGAGAGAGGGTGCTTTAGTGTGCCAACAGTCTAACAGCAAGTGTATGACTGTCAACACGCTAAACCCCTCTTTGAGAAGTCAAGACTCCCAATTTATTCCTCTTTGCAAATCACTCGAAAGCAATGATTTAGTTTCATTTAGAAATGCACAGATATTAAAATATTAATAAGCTGATAATTATTTTACGACCAATACCCAATAAATGGCCAATATTACAGTGTAAAGTTAAAAATAAATAAATAAAATGCTAAAAAAATCAGCTGTTTTAAAATGCTACAAGTTAATTTAAGCATCACATTTTTTAATGTACAATATGGAAAATATTCATTTGACTGCAAAGGTAATCTAAAATTAAAAACAGGAAAAAAACATGTATAATTAAATACACAACATTTGCTGATATACAGTAGTTTAAAAGTCTATTCTCACCATGGCTGTGTTTATTCAATCAGAAGTACAGTAATATCGTGGAATATTATTATAATTTAAATGGACTGTTTTCTGTTGTAACATTTTAAATTGTAATTTCTTCTTGTGATGGCAAAGCTGAATTACTCCAGTCTTCAGTGCCACAAGATCCTTCAGAAATCATTCTAATATGATGATTTGGTGCTCAAGAAACATTTCTTACTATTACCAATGTTGAAAACAGTTATATTTTTGTGGAAACAGTAATGGATTTTTTTTTGTAATAATTTATGAGTAGAACAATTAAAAAGAACAGCATTTATTTGAAATAGAAAACCTTTGTAACGACATCAGGTCTCTACTGCTATATTTGATCAACATAATGTGTCCTTGCGGAATATAAGCATTTAAAAAAAAAACCTACCTCACATTTCTGAATGGTCATGTATATACAACACAATACAGAACAACCCCAATACATCATGCATAGTTTATTCAGAAAATCTATACCCAATTTATTTGATTCCTCTGCATTCAAACATTCAATCATTTATATTTATTTATTTTATTAAATGCTGGTCTATGTGCAGACAAACATTTTAGTCGATATATGTTGTGCTTCCCTAGGGTGTTAAATTTTTCAAACGGGTCTCAGAGTTCTTGCATACTGCTCCATTCAGTCTGGCTCCATCCAGCTGTTTGGTCAGCATCTGGTGGACAGGGTACAATACCCTAAACCAGCCTAATTATACAGTGCTTCCTTAAGACTGACTAGTCATTCACACAGAGCCATTTTTAAAGTATGTAGTTTTGTACACCCTTAGAAGGCAGCAAACAGACATACATCTAAGATTCAGTTCAGGTGAGAGGTGAAAATTTTGGCAGTAAAAACTAAAATAAATCATCCACTTTCAATGTCCAAAATGCAGGGTATTATCTAAAGCATGGGTAGTTTACATAACTTATGTTTAAAAAAAACAAAACAATTGTGCATTGAGGCAGGAAGTATAACAACACTGTCACAACAAGCTTGGTCTTGAAGAGGAAAAATGGATAGCGTAAAGCACCCAGCTAACCATTTTAAGAACTGGTCTGGTCATTTTACACTGGTCTGACTGATCGAATATAGAGTATGTAATCTTGTCTTTGAAGCGGGTTCAGTGGCAGCTGAATGAAAGACCGCCCAGGGTTAACATCACAAAGGCTCGATTGTGAACGGTACACCACTGTAAAGCACCTATCATAGAAAGATCACTCGATGTTGATTGAGGATCTGCACAATTAATTCACTGTTCAGAAGAAAGCAATTAAATCAGGATAATCTGAATACTCCAGGTGTTCTGCTGGAGGGTCTCTAATATAAACACCTGCCTCAGAATGATTTATGGCTAACACCAGGAGTGTCATTGCGCTACTTAATATTAGCTGAATTTACACTACTCAAAAATCACTCTCTGCACAAACGTGGATGCAGTTTAAATATTGCATGTTAAATAAACCCCCCAAAAAATAAAATAATTATATATATATATAAATTGGATTTGGTAGACTTGGTCTTGCATTCAACATCAAGTTTGTTGTGGCAGGTATGAATATTTTTTATTTTTTTTTACCCAATGCCTCAAAGCACAAATGCCATTTAAATAACGAAAAGTCTCACCTGTGGGTTGTTGGCCTCAGCAAGCTTACATTGGCGCAGGAAAAGCTTAAGATTTCCCCAGTTCATATAGGGCAACAGGACCATGGGCTTCTCACCATCTTCTATACACACATGGCTGATGGGTAACAAGTTCCTAAGAGTGAACAGACCAGGGAAAAAAGGGTTAAACTTTGTTGGAGTAGGTAAAAGGACAAATGGCAGGAAAAGGCCAAGATTTCAAACACATTTCTGCAGGAAAACACAAAACAAGTACACAACTACACATTTAATGTGGTGAACACGATTAAAACAAGAATTAGAAAAATGACTTACTGTTATTAAGATTCTCACTAGCAATGATAGACAAAGTAGACAGCAAGTGACATGTTACCCTAAGGTACTTGGTCTGCACAAGACTATTTCAAGACACACACACACATATATATATATATAGCAAATATAAAACCAATGATTCTGTACAAAACTCACGGTTTCTATAAAGGGAGAATGATATGGCAGATTGTGCAAAAGATGAAGTTCTTCAAGCATCAAGAAAGCAGCACATGGTGGCTGTAACTCACCTGTGGTGAAGGCCCCGTAGTTTACAGCTTTCTGTAAGCATCATGGTCACCTGTACCTCTGAGGCGTGATCTGCACAGCAAAATGCAAGAACGAAGTGTCAGGGATGTGTGTCGCAAACCTGGAAAATCCAATCGTGAGGGAAACCTGACAGAATCAACTGACAAAGTCTTCTCATCTCGCCACACACCAATCAAAATAAGAAAGAAAGTGAACCCTCAAACATCTGGAAATAGCCAGATCCTAATTGTCAAGCAGCACTAAAGAATAGAGGAAATGTTTGAACATTTTGTCAAATTTAAAAGATTGTGTCATTATTTCATTTAACTCATATCATACTCGTTCTGCTTTTTTCAGTTACAATGAACAGGGACTATAACTTTCGAAAATAGTGCAAAGGCAAAAAAGGTAATACAAAAATGTAGATTGTTCCACACACAATGCTTTCACATGGCATATGAACTACTTTTATGATGTATTTGTCATCATTTTTGGAGCCCCAGTACTCATTTACATTCATTATAAAAAAAAAAGATAGCCAGGATAATCTTAGATGCACCATGAGTTCCAAAGAAGAAAGTAAGCTATACACGTTTGGAATGAAATGTGGGTATGCAAATACCCATTTTTGTGTGAACTATCCATTTAAAAGAACAATAAATCAAGTGAACGCTCTGTTGGATCTTATTTGATCTGTTTTGCCCCGTCAGGCAAGTCCTTGTTAGTAAAAGGTGCATGCAGGTCCTGAACAACCCTCCACCTTGCACTTGAGAAAGTTTGATTGCTCTAAAAACAGCCTAACGCCTTTCAGCCAGTCTCACAGATTGCTGGCTGAGAGAACACATTTAGAATGAGTTCACAGAGGTCTGGCTTAATCTTGGAGAACAGCTTTTGACGGATGCTTGGAGTGTATGGGTAACGTGTATGGTTTCCTGTCCCTTGTGCAAGGGCCGGGGTGGAAACCGAACAGCTTGGCCCAGCAGAGGCTGGTACAGTGGCATTGTCTGGTGGTTGGCACCAGTCCTGCGCTGGGTAAACAGGGCACAAGGGCAAATGAAGGGGTGAGCAGTGTGACGGGAAGTGCTTTAGTTTCTCATGGCATTTGCATTTTCTAGAGAAACTCCAGTTTCATTCTTGTATTATGAACTTTGGAACTTCACAACGAGGCTCATTATCACAAACAATCCCTCATGATTTTCCTGAGAAAACAGTTCTTTTTAATCCTGTTGGGAGAGTTATTTTAAATGGTTCATTTTAGAAAACTGTACTCAAGGGAGGCATCAAATGAGAGTTAAAAGAGAGGATTTACCTTTCACTGCTTTCACAAAGACTTGTTTCTCTTTGTTTGGGTCCTTCTCGTCAAGCAAGACTCCATGAAAAATGCGGCCAAAGGTCCCTGAGGATAAAAAAAAAAGTCACTTTAAGAAAACAGCTGACATTATGAAATCTCGGTATCTCAGTTAATAGAAATATACACAGATTGTCTCACGTAATAAATGAATCAGTCTCAATGAATCTGTTTCAATGAACAGTGTTAGGGTTAGAGGACCGGATTATCATTTATAGTTTTTCAAATATCAATCATGAAAAGAACAAATATCTCTCTTGCTAGATGTAATCCACTTCTAGTTTCAGTGCATCTTTGGGATAAAACAACATGCCAACTTTTGCATGGTGAAAAGCACAGCAGGTATGAACAGGTATACTGGATGACCTCAGAGAATAGACATAGCATGTATATACCAGCAGGCGCAGGACACTCTCTCACCTTTCCACTGCTGTTCAACATAGCTGCAGCTCCCATAAGCTCAGATGACACTTGAGAATGTAATGGATCAGCGCATCTTACAGAGCAGTGGAACTCAGAGTAGGCTGACTTAGGGGTAGTGTTTCTATTGATAGGTGCCAGCACCGCATTGTCTACTACTTTTCCCTCTTATCTGATCCTTTTTTCCCTCTTGTGCTCCCATGCTTGTTATAACATGCCACTTTATCCCAAGTCAGCTTGCTGATGTAGAAGTCTGCTTTAATTCCTGCTTGTGATTACTGTTGAGTTGTCCTCCATTTAAATAGGAACACAAATGAATGCAAGACCAATAATCATAGACCAAAAATGTCAAAAGAGCTTTAGGGAAAACGGTCACAACATTTAGTGAAATAAAGGTATGCGAGATGTGATACTGTGCATATATGGTACTCATGACCTTTAAAACCAGAATTCTAATACTTTATGTGGATGAGCAGATTTGGTTTGACAAGAGGCAGCCAGCATACACTGAAACGCATTAAATATGGTTTATAAAGGTTAAATTGAGTAATTCAAATTTTCTAAAGTGGATTCATAGAAATGTCCTGGTAAATAACAAAAGTATTGTCCAACTGTTCCATGGATGGTGTGTTTCTTTGTTACAATGCAGAACAACAAATGCAATTGCATCTAAAAAAAAAAAAAAAAAGTATAAACATTGCATTACACATTATGCAACCGGTTGGGTTTCCGTTACAGCTTTCAGTCGCTTTAAGGTAGTTTATGATAAACTGGTTAAGTGGGAGGAAAACTGCATTTGAGACAGACATGGTCATTATGCTGGACTGGGGGATTTTCTTGGTAGACGTTTTTACTGATTGCTTAAGTTTTGTCAAGAAACTAAGCACAGAATGTCCTGAGATGTAACGTTTTAGAGACATGTTCTGTGCTCTGAATCAACTGATCGTCTTAACCTGTTTAAATTTGTGGTCAATTAAAACATACACTCTGTTTTACAATAAAAAGGCAAAGTTTCCCAATTCGGTAATGGCATAGTCCTTACATCATTAGGCCCAAAACGTACTCTACGCAAGTTTGTGAACAGTGACGCAAGATCAGTTTGATCTGCATTGCTGCGTTCTGAAAAGTTCACAAGTTTGTTAAAGTTAAACATCCCTAGCTCTCCTTGGAGCATTCATTACAGAAGTAGCAATGATGTTATTCAAATGTTTTCAATCAGTCAGTTGATCCAGTTCACAGAACAGAGTCAATGATCTGCAATAATTACAGCTAGAGATCGTACTACGTATTTACAGCTCAATGGAAATAAATTTTCTAAGTAATGTATTGTAATAAATGTGTTAAATTTGTTGGGTGACAACAAATGTGTTCACGAGATCTGCATGTTCTTTGCACACTACTCCCTGTAATAAAACAAAACCCCTCAAATGGTTAAAAAAAACACACACACACACTAAAAATGCTGTTAGCATGCGTTTCATAATCTATTCTAGACTGTAACAAAAAAATGAATAATTCTGATGTCATTCAAAATGGAGCAACTTTATTTTCTGGTTTGTTTTGTTACTTTTTAATTTAACTTTTGAACTTTTTCTTTACTCTTCAACCTAACAAACAACACCTAAACCTTTTAAAACTATAGTTTAAAACTAATGATTACGTTTATGCAAAGCTGATAGAGTCCCTTGTCATTTATGTTCTCCATTTGAAAACTGGAATACCAAACTTAATTTGTCCTACTGTTCATATTGTTGTTGCTGCTTCTGTTATTCTGTTAATTCATTCTTGAAATAAACTTATGTACAGTATATCATATAAATATGTTCTGTATATCAGTTACCAGACATATAAACACAAACAATCAGTAGCAGTTAATAAAAAATAAATAAATAATAAAAAAAATACAGTTAACACAACGATTTTGTTCTGTGCTTCACACATAGCTATCGTATGATTTTACAAGACGTTTGAACCACTTGCTTATTTTGTCATTTCAGAGCTTGACAGCCCTCATTTCTCATTTACCCTTATTATATGGAAAATGGCAGCAAGGATATTCTTCAAAAATTCACTTTTTTTTGTTGCACAGAAGAAAAGGTAATACGATTTGGGACAACAAAATGTTCTCATTTTTGAGTAAAAGGAGCCACACTCTTGTGTTTTTGACCTTGGTATTACCACATAGCAATTGCAGCAAATATTTAATAAGTAAAAGAACTTTGAAATTTGCACTTCAAATAAAGGCCATTCAAATAAAACATATTAAGCTGGTCATTAAAAACACACACACACACACAGACACAGACACAGACA